GCTGAATGGTGAACGGGTGTAGTACAGTGGATTGTAGAAGATTTTTACAAATAGCTGCCTGCTGCTGCTGCTGACAATGGCACAATAGTAAGTTGTGGGTCCCTCTTGGACAGCAAAACAGTGACCTCAAATAAACTATGAAGCTTCGAAGAGCTGAGCATAGCTGCAGGTTGAGGTGATAATCCAATGGGTTTATGCAAACAACCCTTTTGCATTGTCACTTTGTCTTCATGTTGCTACTTGATACATTGTCCTTATAAATCAGTTGATTATAGTGCTCTAACACAAATGAAAAAGTATGACAGGGCAGAATTGCATCTACACACTTTTGACTTTAATATCTTAAGTTCTGGAGAGTTAGTGGAGTAGAATTAGAGAAAATAGTCACATGTGGTTACCCACTTGTATTTTAATGTTTACACATAAAATGGTTGTGCACTTCTTTAAAATCAGCTAAAAGGACTTGAAAACTGTTCAAATTCATTGACTCAAATCAAATGGGTAGATACATAAATGAACACATCCATGTGGTTAGAAGAATATAAGATAATCCTGCATAATCCTTATAGTCACTGAAAGTTCACAGCATTTAAAATTTGGGGGGTAAAATTTAAATGATGGTAAATTTACATGTGTATCACATTTGATGATCCTTTTACAGTAGCTGTCCTCTTCAGAACTATCTAACTAACTTTCCTCTTGTTAGTAAAAGGCCACAGCTGCTTGCAGGACGAAAGTGCAAAGGCAGGAGAAGGAGCAGCCAAGCAACTTGTCAGCTGTTGCTCATTAAGATTGTGTCATGGCATCTAAAAATGAGTTCCTTTTTCTAAACGCTTTTCCTTGACCTTGATGGAAGATTGTATGACATCAGGGAAGGATGTGAAAGAGAATTTAACCGCACTCATGCTAGATTCCTTAACACCAAAACAACAGCTAAATTCGCCCCAGCATCCTCTGAGACTTGCTTCATACAAGTCATATAAATGAGAACCTTTGGTAAAAAATATCACTTTATTAGAAAAGTGGGAATTTTAACCTTTAAGATTCCTGCTTCAGTCTCTGAAGGAAAAATTTCCTTCATCCATCATTTATCCAATTGGAGCCTATCCCTGTCAAATTTTACTTATTGGAAACCTTAAAGGCGAGCAATACCAATAATAGACATTAGTAAAGGAACCACAGCCATAGAACATACTTTGATCAATTAATTTATCTCATAATCTTGATTTAGAGATTTTATGTAAATCTATGTAAATCTACATATTTTTACAGCAGTTTGATGTTCATAGTTCATCTTTTAATGGGTTTTACCAGGTGCAACAGCCTCTTGTAGAAGGTTCAAAACATATCAGCAAGTCAGTTTATTGGTCATTTTTATGAACCATCCAGTGCAGGGGTGGGCAATCTCAGTCCATGAGGGCCGGTGTCCTGCAGGTTTTAGATCTCACCTTGGGTCAACACACCTGAATCACATGATTAGTTCGTTACCAGGCCTCTGGAGAACTTCAGGACATGTTGAGGAGCTAAATTAGCCATTTAAATCAGCTGTGTTGGTTCAAGGACACATCTAAAACCTGCAGGGACACCGGCCCTCGTGGACTGAGATTGCCCACCCCTGGTCTAGTGTGTCCTATACTGGGTGAGGCAATAAAGGAAGCAGTAAAGCACCTTAGTATTTAGAGAATCCAACCAGCTGTTATGGCTGCCACTCAGCATCCTGCTGTTAATGATACAAACAATTAGGAATCCCAGCAATGATTAAATGTTAGCACACAATAAATGATTTTTAAACTAATCATCTCATTCACTTGTGTCCTTTTAGTTGTATAATCATCATGAATAAAAATAGCTCAGCTGTCTGAGAATGTAGGCGCTACTTGTCTGAAGATTTTAACCTTTCCAAAATAAACTGTTTCATTCTGTGCAGTGTGTTTCTTCAAAAAAAAAAAACTCTGCTTGTAGCAATGTTTCTTTTAATCTTTCACACAGTCCTCCTCTCTTCTGTGCTCTAGGTTATCTTTATCTCTAATCCCATTGTCTGCCTCTCTCCATGTCTGCTTCAGTTTCGTGCAGGTTCAGGCTTGTATTGTATGATTTCAGGTGTCATAAAAAATTGGGTTGTGTCCAGCTCAGCAGATAGGGCAGTGCACCAAGCTGCTATTCTTGTGAGTTTGTATGAAAACTCAACACATAAAGATGAGCTAAAATGTTAAATTGGTTAAATTACTCTAAGGTAATAGAGTACAGCTTCTAATAAGGAATAACTTTATTAAATGATTCAAAGATATATATTTAAACAACATGACATAATCAAATAGGACAATAGTAGGAATCATCCAGTTTGAGGACCAGTGTATTTGTTTATGGATTCCCTAAAAACTTCATGATTCAGCCATGTAGTTTTATGCAAATTATAATTTAATAAATTGTTAACAATCCTGCTGAAAGCATGCAGTTACATATGGCAAAACAAAACACGCTAAAGGCTGTGAGACTGAGCAAACGTGGACCAAGTTTTCCCCATAAAGCCATTGGTGACCTCAGATTGAGACTTAGATTTAATTATTTTACTGGTGAAGTTTGCATTGCAAATGTGGGTCAGGTAGCACTGAGCTATGTTGCCTGAGCATAAGCCTCCATGGGAAACTACTGAGCGCAAGTAGGAGCTAAGGAAGCAGTTAAAGGAAGCAAAGTAGAGGAGAGGAGCAAAAGATGGGTGACCGAGTTCAAGCTAAATGTAGGTTCTTGAATAATTCACTTCCCCCTGCTGGAAACAAGGCCTGGTCCTTCAAAAGGCATTTAAACACTTATCATGTTCTGTGTAACTCCTCTTTCATATGACTATTGTATGTCTGCAGCATGTTTGTTTTCTTCTCTCTGCTGTCTTCTGTGTATGTTTACCTTTTCAACATTCAAAAGCTGCTTTCTTTCACTTCAATCTATCGTGTGTGTTCTTTTAAGCATTCAGTTTGAATGTTGCCAAACACGATCAGCTGAGCAGCTTCATAGCTACAGTTACTGTTTCATCAAGCGTCACGTTCTAGAGCAGCGCCAGAGACAATGAACAAAAGCCTGATGTCCAGCAGGTTTGCTCTTTGTTCTTTCAATTGAGCTTGATGAGGCATAAAGTTTACCCATATCTCTGGAAAACAACAACAGGCATAGCTGTGGCCTCCCATCATTCTTTTACTGCACATTAAATCATTAAACATTGTGTCTATCTGTATTATTTTTGTTGCATATTATGGTATTAAAAGCTGTGGGTTAAATATTTTGTGGAATGGAAGTTAGGGATCATGTCATTGCCAGATCCTTTGTAGAAACTGTGAGTGATAATAGGACCCCACCCCCCACACACCAAGAGGGCCCCAGGATATGTTCATGTGCTGCAGTGCAGACGATCCCAATTATGCATGCCACACCCAGATCAATCATGTCAAAGGAGGCGTTTCCCCTCTGCTCTCAAAGACACAAAATTTGCGTGAGTCACAGGTTGAGATGTGAAACGTATTACTGTAAATCCACACAGTGCAATGGCAGCTTGCTGTCTGTTGCCATTCAGCGATCATTTTTATGTTACAACCCATTTTGTAAACACCTTTTCATAGATTCACGGTCTTAAATTTGCACAGTCAGATTCCAGTGAGCTGAACTCTAGGCCATGTGCTTTAAATGACATAACAGATCATTATCTTTGATAATTTCTTGCCCTAGTTCCCAAACTCTGTTGGGCTGTGCTGGAATTAGCGAGCAGAGGATTAACCCTTTAAAGCCAAATGTATCATTTGATACATAAAATGCCTGTTGTAGCAAATATGATACAAATTTAAACTGATATGTGATTTTGTTTGTTTGTTTGTTTGTTTTGTCAAAAGATTCACTAAATGCAATTCAACCTTTAAATGTTTTTTAAAAAACAAACAAACGAAAAACCATTAAGGGCTTTAAAAAACCAACCATTCTCTCAAACTGTACAATTTTAGTGTTTTGCTGCAGCTGCCTTCTTGGTACCTTCACACATGCAGGAGAATTTTGTGTTTAAGAAGCGTTGTTCTGCATTATTCTCTGTGTATCTTTCAGCTTTTTCCTGTATTCATCTTCATCCGCTTCTTCTGAGCAAAGCACACAAGGAATGCAGATCAGATTTACTGTGCATGTATTACACAGTTACATATTTATATACCAGACTTATTAGACAAACATTTATAGATCTACTTGAACACAACAAACAATCATCAGCTGCTTGTCAGCAAAACTCTTTCCAGTGCTCAGAAGGTTGCTGTCCCTCTAATTAAAACCCAGTGGAAACGCCATCAATCATGTCAGATCAATATGAAATGAAATCAAAGATGGCCAGTTTTCAGCTTTTTGTCACTTTAACAGTCTCCCATGCTGCTTTGTTATCTTCGTAGTAGGGGCAACATCGCCACCAAATGGTGTGAAATGGAAACATCTTCGTATGGCTAATACTAAAAAACAACTAACTTGATATAAAGGCGAGTTGCAGCAGTAATACAATTTTTTTTATTGATTAGTTTATTCAAAAGTGAAAAAAAATGATACAAGCAATACTTCAAATTGATTAGATTACAGAAAATGCTAAAACAGGGAAAACAGTATAACAACCCTGACAGGTGCAGTTATTGTTTTTACAATAGTCTATAATGAACAAAAACTTGGACCACTTATACACTGCTGATATGTGCAGCCTGCTTGTACAAGCATGGATTAAAGGATTTCATGGCTGAGAGGAAAAACAAGCAGCAGCTGTATCCTGCAAGGTTCCTGTTGCTTCTGTAGTGTTGAGTTTCTAATATCTTTTGAGCAGGTGTAAAGCTATCTATACAAATGCTCGTCAACATGAAGACTGTTGCATTTTTAAGCTCAAACATGACAGATATGTTGGATTCCATATGAGGCAAAACATTGCATCTGTATTTTTTATCAGCAAAGACTTTGCATTTGTTTTTATAATAGGCCGCTGTGTGTTTAATTCTCAGGTTCCCATCACCCTGCGCTTCCCAGAGGTGGGTACATGCGCTCCCCCTCGTGGACACGATGCAGCAAAGTTGAGCCTCCACGAGAGAGAAAGCACCACAGTGACTCAGACACCACAGAGCCCTTAATGAAGCTGGAAAGGCCAAAGCAACCATGATCTCTGACATGAACCAACCAGCCTGCAGAGAGGAAAACAAAACCCAGAGCCAGACATACAGCCAGATCGGTCACACAAAGCGGACCAAGATGCCTCGTTCTGCCACCGTGCTCTCACATAATCTTACATGGTGCTGGCGAGTTCAGGCTGAACTCTGGACACTGTGCTCTCTACTCTAACTAAAGATGCTGAGATGTGCAATGTGCACACTTTCTTCTCTCCCCGTCCCATTCTCTCCCACACTCACAAACACATGCAATCATTGTGTTGCTCAAGCAAAAGGTTCTTAGTGCACTCTGAGCTGCCAGATTATAATCTTTGTTTATTGGTTGACAGACAGGGTATTAGGTCAGCAGAATAATAGCACTTTTATCTGTGAAACCTCTCAGCATGGTCTTGCACAATGAGATTGATCCGGACATAACCACAGCGTTAGGTTAGACTTCACGTGAAGCTCAGATGACAGTGAGCTTCACTCTCAATTACAAAGTCATAAGATAAATCATAAATCAAACATTTGTTTTCCTAAATGAAACATCACATCGATCTCTTATTGAGGCTAATTCTGTAACGCCTCAAAGTAAGTTAAGTGAAGCAGGGGATGTTGGTTTCTGCAAGGCTCAGCTCTATCCACCACCTTTTCTCAATCGTAATGAAGAATGTGTGCTGTTGTTTTAAATGCCTAAATAAAAATAATGCACTTCTTCACTGAACTGTATATACAGTGCCCTGCAGAATTATTGGCATTTGGTGCAGATGATTCACAAAGATAAACAGACCAAGTAGCAGCTATATGCTATGTACTTTTCCACACCCAACTTTGTGTTTGCAAAATTTGCTCACTTTATCATTATGAATAGATTATCTGCTACAATTGCTGCTACTAGCATAAAGCAATCCAAAGTTAGTAAAAAAAAAGTTACACTGAAACATTATGGGGTAAAACTTAAAGCAGTTTAAAAAAAAAGGTCAAATCTCACTATAGGCAGATTCATGCAAAACAAAGTGCCAACAATTTTATAACTCAAATCTCCCAAAAGGTGAATTTAACTCCTGATGCAATATTTCTTATTTTTTTCAGTAAAGGGAATAGCTGATTACTTGATTTATTTGTCGCATATTCAGCTTGTCTATACCAAGAGTGCCAATAATTCTGAATGCTGTGACACAGTGGATTCAAAGTGACACTGGGATGGTAGAAGGAAAAAATAAAATGAAAACAGTGTAAGTTATTATGTGACTTCTGTTGTTACTAGTGTGGAGGAGACCCATTCTGTATTGTATGGTATGGAGAGCAATTGATTTCATATCAGTCTTTCGCTACAAATGTAGTCTGCGCAAATAAATATGCACATCTCTCATGTTCACTGCAGACAATGTGCTCTATAAATAGCAGGGAAACTATGGCAACTGCCAAACCCAGTCTGAGATGGCTGTTCTGTTAAAGTTTTTAAATTCAAACAGAAATTTTAAACTTTATTTCACCATCCTTGGATCTCCAAAGAATTTGAATAATCATTATTATTAAAATTATTATAGCACCAATGTACCACCGGCTTACCATTAATGGGAATCCTGGCTAAAAGTGCGAAAGTACCCACTTTACTCATATTGCAAGTTCAAGTAATGATTGGTATATATTAGTGTACATATTTGTATATAATAGTACAATAGTTACAAAAATGCTATTTACCCAGCAGAGGAGCAGCTGGCATAAGAAATGCAACAGTAGATGACAGAGTGTAGACAGGAAGTAGGAAAAAATAAAATAAATACATAACTGACAGAGTAATTTCCTGAATAACAGCAAAGTTCATGTTTTTACAGTACCAAACAAATACTTTAGTGTTCGTATTACTTTAAGCTGTTGCTAATTTCTTTTATCCTCATTAAATGTGCTGAAAGCACAGTTTGAAAGAATAAAAGGACAGAAATCTTTCTTAATCACTACTTTGACCAGTGAACTATGCAGGCGATATTTTCATATATTCTAAGGGACAGTTTGTAACACAGAGACAAGACAAACACTATGACCCATACTGAGCTACACTTTCCCAGAGCTAATCCGAAGTTCTTATATCTACATAAATGTTTACCCTGATTATTATGAGACACTGGGAGACACTGATTAGTATGCGCAGAGAGAAAGCTAGAAAACATTGACTGATTTCTAATTACCTTTACTGATAAATATACGCAGACTCCAAGGAAAACAACATCTGCAAAAGGATTGAAATATAAAACAATCAACAATCAAATAGATCTGAACTTTAAACATGTGGCAAATAATAGGATAGAATAGAAAACTGTATCTGCAAAAGGATGAAAATCCAAACCTCAAAATAAAACTTAACACATGATTCCTGCAGCTGATAAGAACATAGCATGATGGCTTATTCCCTTCTAATAACATAATATAATTCTCTTCTAATTATTCATGGTATGTTTTGTTAGTATTATTGCACTTAGAGACTTCCACAGAGTGGAAAAAGGAAACATAAGGCAACTGCAGCAAAATAGTGCATTTGTACATAAAAACTACAATGAAAAAATTTGCAGTTTGCACAAAACCTTGGGCAACACATCACCATCTTTTATCCTAAGGTTGTCAGTCACATGAACCACTAACAGACCTCTGACAAACTGCAGTCCAGACCAGATGGTGCCGCACATGAGAGACAACCTTAAAGACAACCTACAGGTAAAGGGCTGATGTGTTTTGCCGATTCTGCAGGTGTTTTGTATCTCCTTTGTTGTTTTGCCAGTCTGTTAGTCCTTCAGGTAGAAAAGTGTCTTCTTTAGATTTCTCCAAGCAATCAACAACCTCTTGATATGAGGACTTCTCTTGAAAGGGGCGAGGTCCTAGCAGTTCCACCATGTGAGCCCTGTCTAGAATCTCTTGGTCTAGAAGATGCTTTGCCACCTGCATTACATGACCAACAGGAAACATCAAGCTTTGAGGTCATTAAAATACACATTTTTTTCATACTCCAAATATATGACAGTTTTGAAAAATGCTCAGCACAAATGAAAATCCATTTGCAGCATCACACTCTGCAAATGTCTCTGAAGCACTTACTACAAATGTTAAAAAGTTCGCACCTTCTCCACCATTTCCTTCTTGTCAAGTATGAGCTCAAGTGTTCGTTGGAAGGCAGCATCTATGAGTGAGCGAACTTCCTGGTCTATAACCTGGGCTGTAGATTCACTGAAAGGTTTGTCAGTTATAAGGCTGCCCCATTGCGGTAGGTCAAAAGAAACCTGACCCACCGCACCATTCATTCCAAACTGTACAATCTAAAATATGAAGAGAAGAAGAATATGAAGACTGGAACAGAAATATATAGTCAATAAAAATCATAAATTATTCTCTATGAGTCATTTTAACTCCATGGATGGTTATGCTTTTTTTTGTTGTTGTTGGACAAAATACGGTTTGGTTACGCCTAAATTTCTACAATAAGCCTGTTCTGCAGTGAGGCGAGTACCTGTGCATAGGCAGACTGTGTGACTTTCCTGAGATCATCTTGTGCCCTGGTGGTGACTTGACGAAAGAAAACCTGCTCAGCCACTCGACCACCCAGCATCATGCACATTCTGTCAAACAGCTGCTCCTGTGTGAATAGGTACTGCTCTTTAGGTAGATACTGTGCATAGCCCAAACCTGTCCCTCTAGGAACAAGTGACACCTGGTGGAGTACATTATAATGATGAATCTCTAATCAGTTAATCATTATAATTATTACAGGATTACTGCAAAGAGAGAGCAAGAAATGTAAATAATACCTTAAAAAGTGGGTCTGCATGTTCAAGAAACCACCCAGTGACAGCATGCCCAGCTTCATGATATGCCAGAGTAGTTTTTTCTGGAAGTTGCAGAACCTGAGATCTTTTCTCTAGACCTGAGAACACGACAGAGATCTTAAAAAAATGCTTAAATCATAATATTAACATCAGGTTAATGGATTGACATAAAATAACATATAAGCTCTATATTTTGATACCACTGCTTTTATAACTCAGTTGTACTGTATTGTCATTGTATTTATGTAATCAAAAAAGTGGTTATGGAAAGATTCACATATATACTATCAGTTTCTTTTGGTTCATTTTGTTTGACTTACCTCCAACAACCCTTTCAACTGCCCACTCAAAGTGTTTGCTACTGACATACTGGCTGAGACGACGTGCAGCTATTAGAGCTGCCTCATTACACACATTTGCAATGTCAGCCCCTTATACAAACACAGAGAAGCAACAAATAAGTTAGAGTGTGATGAAATTAAAGCAAGAATCAGCTGAAACTGTATGATTTTCTTTTTTAGATTTGTTTGGTATTCAGTGATCATGATCTTTTATTCCCACCAGTAAAATCTGGGGTTAAAGCAGCAAGATTCCTGGCCAGCGTCTCTACATCTACACTGGAGTCCAACTTCAGAGGTCTTAAATGCACCTTAAAGATTGATGCCCTGCCTTTCATATCTGGAGGACCTGCAAAAAACAAAAAAGAAGACCACTGTCTGTATAATTCATTAATAAATCACTCTGCTTCAAGTTCTGTCACATATACAGCACTGTGCAAAAGTCTCACTCCTTAATTCCTTTATATTTGGTTTTCATTGAGCTAGACTTTTCTAAAGTGATCTTGAGAAATAGTTCATTAGGCTTTCGAGCAAAGACCTGACACAGGACCAGAGATGCATTTGGTCCTTCAATTAATCAATCTGCTGTTCACCAAAGCCTCATTAATAATGGTCTAAGTGGAAGGGTGGCTTTCAAGAAGCAATTCTAAAGGAAGAGCAACCGGAAGAAAAGTCTGAAGTATGTCAAATTATGCAAGAATTGGACTCAAAATGAAGTACTGAAACCAAATTTACAATTTTTAGTTTAAAGGCTCATCAATGTGTATGTATGGAGGAGCTCATAAGAGAACCTGCCCAGATCCTGAAGATCAACATTATTGAACCTGAGTGGGATCATTTTGATAGTGTAGAGAACAAAAGGAAATAACTTTGATTGTCCTTCAAGAAGCCTATTCCTGAAGACTACTTGAAGAAATTACAAGAAAATTGCCTGAGAGAGTTAAGGCTGTTTTGAAGAATAAAGGTGGTCATATCAATGAATGCAATGAACAGCCTACGTCCATTGCAGCCCTTAGTTATGCTGCAATAGATGTAGGCTGCCGGGGATTCCCATGATGCATTGAGTTTTTTCTTTCCAGTCACCTTTCGCACTCAGTATGTGTTAATAGACCTCTCTGCATCGAATCATATCTGTTATTAACCTCTGTCTCTCTTCCACAGCATGTCTTTATCCTGATTTCCTTCTCTCACCCCAACCAGTCGCAGCAGATGGCCCCGCCCCTCCCTGAGCCTGGTTCTGCTGGGGGTTTCTCCCTGTTAAAAGGGAGTTTTTCCTTCCCACTGTCGCCAAAGTGCTTGCTCATAGGGGGGTCATATGTTTGGTGGGTTTTTCTCTGTATCTATTATTGTGCAATCTACTGTACAATATAAAGCGCCTTGAGGCAACTTTTGTTGTACTTAATTAATTAATTAATTTGGCACTATATAAATAAAATTGAATTGAATTGAACTGAATTGAACTTGAATGTTTTTATCTAATATACTGTATTTCCATGTATGTTTGAAAATGCTTTAATAAATTACTGCACATATGTTCAGTTTATTTAGCAAAATATAAAGAATCGAGAGGCAGCTCAAATTTGTTTGCACAGTACTGTGCAAACAAAAAGCTTATAGAGCTGATGCTGACAATTACTCAGCCTTCTGCTGCATTACACGTGCACAATTAGCAACTGCAAAAATAGTTCACTGAAACCATGCCAGCATGAAAAGGTGGTGAATCTTGTTTGTAGAAACTTTACAATAACACTTTTTTTTAAAGGTTTATATTCGGTCGAAAGGCAGAGCAAATTCTAAAACAACAATGTATTGACTTAAAAGTTTCAGTACAGAAGCATTAACTCTTACTGGAGGAGAAATGTTTTCATTCGCTTTTAAAGCCATGAATTCAGCGTAATTTATTTTACCATTTAAAAACCCTTTGTCATTTGCAAGCATCCAGGAAAGGACCCAATATAAGTCCTAAGGCAGTGGCCAAACTTGTGGCTTGGAATACCAAGTTACATAACTAATTGCTCATTAAACCAATTAGAAATGTGAACTTTTTCAGCACTCCCATCTTTCTGTCATCTGTTTACAAAAGACAATATACACAGACAGAAGGACGGGGAACAGAGAATAACAGGGAAATGAGCAACATATCCCATCCCTCGTGTTGGCCTCCAGTTACCTAATCTGTCCTTTATAGAAAAACAGCTCTCTCATTATGATCTTGTTTTCTTTGATAGAGAAAAGTGGTCTGGCCACCCACCCTGTAGTCCTGGTGTTAGGAAAATTAGATCTTAGCAGGCAGGAAATATCAAATTAACCGAAGATAAAAGCAAACATTATGCAACACGTGCTTTTAATGACATAAGACGTAAACAGGCAAGAAGAAACATACAGTAAGTACAAGATATGAGTTTCAATAATGTCAAACGTAACACCTCATCTAAAGCAGGGAAAGTCAAAGTTATGCAGACCATCTGGGTCTGCATGCACACCAGAGCCAGTGAATCACATGTGGAATAATAAACTGGGAAACAGAAATCAAAAAGAAAATAAACTTAATCACAGCAAAAGTAAAAGTGAGCTTGGTGTTGTGGTCAGACACCAATAATCTGAAAATTAACTGAAATTTGAAATGGATCTTAATAAACAAAGAAATAATGGTTTTATATTTATAGTTTTCATAAAAGGTAACTGAGTTGCAACAAGCGAGGAGACTGCAGATCTGAGGTTAATATTTATACTTCACCTATGTATACATGTCGATCAAAGCGTCCAGGCCTCATCAGAGCTGGATCCAGGATATCGGCTCGATTTGTGGCAGCTAAAACCACGATGTTAGTGCTGCTGTTGAATCCTACAATGACAAAACCATTTAGAGGACTGAGGGCTTGTGAAAAAATAGCATCAGAAATGTTGACATAAAACATAATTACCCACCATCCATTTCCACAAGCAGCTGGTTGAGGGTGTTCTCCTGTTCGCCCTCATCACCAAAGTTTTCTTTGCCCCGCTTTCTGCCGATGGCATCAATCTCATCAATGAAAAGAATGCAAGGAGCATTTTTTCGAGCTGTGGCAAACAAATCTCTTATCTAATAAAACACAGAAAAGATCTATTTATTTCTACAGTTATACTAATTTTTGACATTGCCAAAACACCCAAAAGTAGAAAGTCTTCATCATTTTAATTTGATACGAGAATGAGTAATTCAGTGATCTGCTGTATTTGCACATATTGTGGTCACACTGCAGCATCACAAGCATGTGACCCATCATTTTGCTTTCAGACCCGTTGAGAGTCCAATCATTCAGCACCGTACTAACCCTTGCTGCACCCACACCGACAAACATTTCCTGGAACTCCGAGCCGTTGACTGCGATGAAAGGAACGTTGGCCTCTCCTGCAGTGGCCTTAGCTAGCAAAGTCTTCCCATTTCCAGATGGACCCCATAGCACTGCACCCTGTAAACAAGGGAGTTAATCAGATTTAATGTATTTTCTATCTTAAGGAATTTTTTGTTCCAGTGAGTATGATCAGAATACAGAAGTGCAGAATTGCTTTATTTTAATAAAAATAATAAATTTCTTTATCAAGAAATGACACACCTTAGGAATCTTAGCACCCAGGTCATGATACTGACGTGGGCTTTTCAGGAAATTGATAAACTCCAAGATATCTTGTTTGGCCTCCTCACACCCTTCAACATCTTTAAAATGGACACTGACATTGTTTTTAATTATCCTGGCTTTGGATTCACTTATCCCAAAGAGGCCTCCTCTCCCCCAGCCACCAAGTCCTCCTGCCATCGGCCCCTGCCGTGTTGCAAAAAGTAAAAATCCGACCACAAGTAAGATTGGGAGAACACTCAAAAACAGAGTCCTATGGGAAGAGAAAAACCTTAGTTAGGACATCGATTCTAATAACCTATATATGCAGTAACTTTAAAGTGAAGCTGCTGTACTTTCTCACCCATCACTTTCACTGCTGTAGAGCACAGGTACTTTCTGAGTGGAGTCCAGACCTATTTCCTGCTGTGCTAGCTCCAGGTTATGCTCAAATGAGTCTGCGCTGCCAATGTTGAACCACAAATAGTTCTGAAACATGAAGACAACAGCATGTAGTATATGTAGTAAGTATATCTACCTTTACTGTACTTTGACTGACTCTTCATCTGGACTGCGGCCCCTCGGAGGAGGCACACTACCATTGTGCATTGTTAGAATAGCAATTGTTCCTCGTGTGATTTTCTCAGTGTAATCAGTCAAATGCCTGCTGCAAATAAAGGTTAGCAAGCTTTATTTAGAAAAAAAAAAGCAACTGATAAGGAAAGACAGTGAGAAAATGAAAACGAATGTACTTATGTGCCAAATACAAATATGTCGACTGCTGAGATCTGTATTTTAAAACTTGTGCTCTTGGAATTTCAGAAAGTATGTGTGTCCTCTACCAACAAAAGCAAATGGGAATACAGTGTGTGAGAAAAAGAAAGATGTTTGTTTTGTTTGTTTATACAGTCATTTTTATCAATATAGTGAAGTACATTTTGTCGATTCTCATCAGTTTAACAGTAAAAATAAATGCATTTAGTTTGTATAAGACACTGCAATTACACACTGGGACATTTAATGAAACTGACCACTCGTGATGTGTTCACGCCGGGGGCTGGAAATACTTTGACATACTGTTTGTTGACAACCTCGACATGGCCCACCTGGGAGGAGAGCAGAAGGAATCATTTGTTCACATGGTTGCAAACACAAGCACAGACACACAGGTGTAAGGAAGACACCGTAATTAAAACGATCTCTGCCTCTCACCAAGCCTCTACTCAAGTAGTGATGCACAAAATCCTTCCAGGAGATCTGGACTCCTGTTTCTCTAAAGTGAAAGTACAAGAAAGCTGAGGCCATGCCTGCTGCACCGGCTGCTAGGTTCTGGACCGTTTTATCATCAAAGGGAAATTCCTCCTGTTAGAAATAGGATAATGAAAAAATATTTTAGTTTACAACTCCTATATAGAATCATTTTAGTAAACATATTTTGTTATTATTTAGTGACTGAAGACAAGGCAGTTATTGCCACAATTCTGGCTATGATTCACACCTGAAAGCGTGACCACCAGTATGATTCCCCTTTTTTCCATCGTTTTCGTCTTTGGTCCTTCCCGTTATTTGAGTCCTGCCATTCCCTTCCACGAGACTCTTCTTTTATATTTCCATCTGAACAGCAGTAATAACACAACTGTTCATTGCGGCAGAGCTGAGAAATACAGGGCTTACAAACTCACTGGGTAAAGAAATTATACACAGTTCAACAATACATAGAAAAGTAAGCAATTGTGTTCTTCACACTGCCCTTAAGGTTTACAGTCTGTGTGCACACTGATTTAGAGTCATTAAAAAGGTAAACAGCACTAAAAGATGGACTACCTTTTGGCTGTTTCCTTGAGCTAAGTAACCGAGTAACTTGGAAAATGTGTTGATGTAAACCGCCGCATCTTCTTTGGATGAGTGATTTCTTCTGAAATAGGTTAGCAGCGAAGTCAGTCATCAAAAGCCATGTATAAAAAGAAATGTACATGAAATAGATTCAGTTCAATTAAATTTTATTTATATACTGCCAAATCACAACAACAGTTGCCTACAATAATACAAAGAAAACAGAGATGTAAACAAACTAACTGAGAGAAAGGATACAGTCTCATGAAGCAGAGACTGTATTCGTGTTTTTACATTTAAAAAAAAACTCTTTTGTTTGCTCACATGTTTAAGGATTACTGAAATCTGATTAAGATCTAGGCACACTGAAATGTGTTGCATATAACCTAATTATATGCAGTCATTGCAACAATAACCCAGCTGCTGTTAAGGTCAAATATTTACTTCATTTTGGCCATCTGCACATATTTAATGTTGATTCAGTTATGTTTATGGTTTGACTAAACTGATTACCATACAACTGCTCAAATTGTGATTCACTATGAGAGAGCATTTCTCAGTATCAAACATACATAATAGTGCACGCAATAAAACCATTGCTGCAGGTTATGACTCTGGAAAATTCATCTTACACAGCTCAACCATACACATTCACACCGGTCAAAATAATGATCCCATAGTGGAATACAGGCACCTGTTGGTGACAATTTTCCCCTATACAGTTGACTACAGAAAGAAACTGAATACTATGAATGTATTTTTAATAGTAGTTAGTAGATTTTTTTTTATGAAGGAGAGACAATGGGTGATGCAATTCATCTTCTTAAACAGTTTTAAATATTAAAGGAAACTGGATGGATAAATGAGCGAGAGAGAGAGAGCCCCTTTAAAAACAAATGTATTATGAAACTGAGGAAACTGATTTATAAACTACATTAACGGAACGGACATCGCCTACCGTGAGAGAACAAACAATGCAGGAATGATAAATAAACACTGCTGCAGCTTGCTTGGGGGTTTTTTGGAGTTGACTGCTATATCTGGATTTTAAAAAATACCAAAAAACTAACTTTTAACATAATTCCTTGCAAACCATTGTTAGCAAACGCAGGTGACAAAAAAACTTGCGTCATCTATTTTTTTTTTTTTTTTGAAGTGTAGTTAAGCTGATATAAAACAATAACGGCGTTTTTGCAACCTACCGACGTGAGAACCACGAAGAAGCGAAAAGTAGATGAAGAGGAATAGTTGCGGCTCAGCGTCCGGACTCGGTTCCTACAGTAGCCGACAGTCAAAGAGAGGAGACTCATCCTGTCAGCCCGACTGACTGACGGACCGACTCACCGCAGAGCCATTAGGAGAGGCACCGGAGGCACGGTGCGTATCACAGTCATCTCGCGAGATTTTGGTTGCAGACGCTACAGGTAGGCACCAGTCTTCCAGCGTTTTTTTTGTTGTTGTTGTTGTTTTTGTTAAGCCCAGTTTTAATGTTGGAAAGCCAAAGAGATCTATCTTCATTTGGATTTTTTGTTGTTCTTAGTTGCAGACCGGTCATTAACAGACAGAATTAAAATCATTGCTTAAATGCATTTCATTAATTTATTCATGCACTACTCATATGTTTAACAAGCCATGGTGTTTACCAACACCATGTAAGTCCATTAGTTTGGAAAAAATATATATACAATACATCATGCTGAAAGATAACACAGCCAAAACTCGTTATTTTAAAACGAATACATAAAGGTCAGCATTTACACATTAACCAAGGTTTGCCACTTAACATACAGAGACTTAATTAAGGGAATTTAGACTGAAACAACTACCATGATGGTATGAAAGGGTTTTGATAACAGCTGTTAAGTAACCTGACAGCCTTAGGCACACAATTTTCATGAGCATCAACAGACATTTGCTACACTGCATGAAAACAGCACTGATTAAACACATATTAAACTGCACAGCATTAGTTCACAGTTTTGAATTAAAAAAAATGAAAGCACATAAAACAACTCTCATAGTCTTTGTGTCTTACACTTTAACAATTTTCTTTACAAGGAAAAGTACCGTACTGCTAATGCATGCTTTTGTTCACCTATACCATTCGGTACGGTGCAAATAGGAAAGGAGCTGAAAATAAACAGTTAAGGCCTGAAAATCTACATAATTGAAGACTTTATGAAATATCAACAGATCAATATATTGGTTCTAAATAAACAGCAATTGAACTCATAGAAAATATGTCCAAAAAGGGGAGATGGGTAAGTGGCAGTGACCAACTGGTCACACAGTCTAACAGATTTAATCCCATTTTAAACTATGTCAACATATAGCTTTTTTTGTGCAACATCACCCATCTGAACCTAATAAACTGAAACTTGGACATGGCAGCACAGGAACTGGATGCTAAAAGGCATATTTTTGGCGATTTTCTTATTGGACGCTGGGCTTCTAAACTTTAAAATTCTGATATATGGCAACTTTAAAGTTCAGCATTATTGGCAGTTTGGATTAAAGTAGTTGAGGCTTGTAACAGTAAATATACAATTTCTGCATGCATAACCACCTACTGATCAGGTGGATTTTTTCTCTACAGAGCATTTACTTGTAAATTTAGAAACACACACCAACATTAAACATACACGCAGTGGTTTGTACATCTAAGTTCTGTAGGAATGCAAAGGTTTGATAAAAATATATTAATTTCCAGATGAATTTTAAATACCCTGCCTCATAATGCAGTGCACAGGAAAAACAAAAGTCAGAGCATAATCATAAAACAAAATAAAGAAAGATTGTGGGGTTTTTTTTTTCCATAACGAAGCAAAGTGCAGCATCCACTTAAATCCCAGGGTCCTTTCCAGAGTTAGCTTTCTTTCACATCCAGCTCCTCTTCATCCTGCTTACGCTCAGTCATTCGTGCACATCGTGGACAAGTTGTGGAATTGTCAAAGTAACAATCTCTACAGAGGTACACAACAAAAAAACATCAACATTCATGTCAGTTTGGTTATTTCTTTTAGTAACAGTTTAATAATTGGGAAATCATAGTGCTTTGCAAATTGAAGTACCATTTGTTAAACAGAAATACTCCTAATTACCACTTTAGCAATGGAATTTGAAGGTATGTTATTCTGAAGATCTGTTTTATTATTGGTATCTCCACTTAAAACTTTTATACAAACAATTTCCTTTTATCAATTAATTTTAAACACTTCACAAAGAGAAAATTTGCTGTATTTTTGAGCCCAAATCGTTGGTGATGACTAACCTGTGAAAGACAGCAGAGCAGTCATGGCACACTGAGGTGTGACTGTCAAAGGGGAACAGGATGTCTCCCTCCTTGCAAAGCTCACACACAAATCCTTTGGCCTGACAGCGCTACAAATACACACATGGACAGCACAAACCATTAATATGGCACAGAAAGATACAATGATATCAACAAATACTAAAAACATTTCAGCCATATATTAGTACAACATGGTGAATTTGCAAGTCCAACACAGCCCCTCTTCTTCATGATATAGTTCAACAGTGCCATCAGTAGGGAAGTTTGTGCTTTATGTATGAGCTCACCTCGCAGTCTAGTTTGATGTGCTTAGCAAATGTGGTGTGGATCTCTGTGAGGGAACAGCTCAGTCTGCCAGTGGAAATGTCAATCAAATCCTGTAGTGAGTACATGTCGTCGTTCTCGACAAAGTGTTGGCGATCTTGTAGCTGGAAAATATAAATGCAAAAAAAGGAAATGGGCAACTTTCATATTATGAGACTCAACTCTTTAGTGCAAAAAAAGGATATCAGACTCAAGCATAGTTTTAAACATATTATTTATTTATTTTAACAGTAGGGAAACATTTTAATTCATAAAAATATGTTTAGTATAGATTAAAACTGAGCTAATACAGAACTTGAGATCACAAGAGTCAATTTAATTTATGCAAGCTAATTAGTGATATCCAGTGGCTCACCCGACTGTACATCATCAGCCTTCTTTAGTTCAGTACTCTTCACTTCTATCACATGGTGGTGCTGTTTTAACATACTGCTAATAGGCTGCCTGTGTCAGTGCTTCCATTTGCATTTTTCTAAATGGTAAGTAAATTGATAGCAAGTTTTCCAAATTGGGTTGTTTACATTCTTGCTAACTTTAAAGGGTTAAATTGTAAACTCTGATCATCCAGTGGAGACTGAAACAATATTAACTGTTTATAATATGATAATGAAAAAAAAACTTTCTTAATGCACATGTTTGTTTGTACAAATACACACACGCTTATATACAGCTGAGAAAAAAAGGCCTAGTCTAAATTTGTAAATGCCAGTTTGAAAAAGTTGAGGCTATCAGTTCTTCATCCCAACCTTATATGAAAAGAATCTATTAGCCTATTAGACATTGGGCAATTACAAGATAATTTTATGATTTACATGCAGAATTGTCTAATAGGCTAATAGTATTGCTTGGATCAGGTTTAATTGAGATAATTTATTATAACTAGATAACGTTTCTGCTTGAAAGCAAGTCCTTGTTTTACCCAATAAAATTCAGTGTTGGTCAAGTTACTTGAAAAAAGTAATCAGTAACTAATTACTGATTACTTCCCCAAAAAAGTTATCCTGTTACTTTACTGATTACTTATTTTCAAAAGTAATTAATTACCTAGTTACTTAGTTACTTTTTAAAAACACGATTTACAACCTGAATAGGTG